TTCGGTATGCTTCGTTCAGTTGCATTATTTGCTAAACTCACTCACTCCATTCCTTCAGGAGCAAAACACATATAGCGTGTCATGGCCAGCAGTCGGTCCTGACCTTTACCCACTAAACTCGTCTGGTTCGTCACTGAATACATTAATACATAATGCCATTTAGAAAACTGTCATATGTAACATGTTATTTTTGAGAATACACACTCTCATTAAAAGTACAGTTTCTAAGTAACTTTGTGGGGATTGAGTCCCACTCGGGTATTTACAAAGCTCTGGAGGTGAAACACACTCCTTTAAGTACATACACACATACACACACGCACGCTGGGCCGTAGTGACCAAGCAGGAGATTTGTGAGTGTTTGATGTCTTGTTCTGAATCGAAGATATTTAACACAGCTGTTATCTGTCACCCACTGTTGTGTGGCAGTGTTATACATTCTGAAACAATGTGCCTATTGTAATACATTGTACTTGTGTTACAGTGGCGTGCCACATTGGAAGGCAGATTTCTGGAAGCTTCCACAGGGTACTACAACCCCATGGGCATTTCCACTTCTTATGACCAAAGAGTTGGAGGATTCTCTCAAATTACATGATGACGCTAACTGTGTGGAGATCGGATGTTTATCCTATAATAATTAAATTTTTTATTGTGTTCATTAAAATTCTGGCAATCCCTGATTGGTTAACTGGAACATTTCTTTTGACTTCATTTCCCAATGAATCTAAAAAATAATTCACGCCCACCGAACCGGACTACTTTCGGACCTGAGGAATGTCGGGGAATACCTTTACACAGCGAGGGAATTCCCTTGCACTCAAGGTACCTTAATGAACTTTGGATAAACATTGAAGTGATACATTGTGGTTAACATAAACAAACAACTCAAAATTATCCGTGAACGTTAATAAAGTGTTTATCCTAATAAAAAGTGTTTGTCATAATACATTATTTGACTGGTTACTGTAGTTACACGTGCAGTCAGCGAACAGTCGTCGCAACTGCAACTGCTTGTTTACATTCCAACAAGATGCCCGATTCCAAGTACGGAAGTTTTGATCTGGGGAATTTTGAGTCGATTTTCGAAGATCAATCTACCGGAAACGTTGCAACTCTTAGCACGGATAACATTGATTTTCCGGATGATTTAGACCTGGAAGAAATTGAAAGTTTGTTTTGCTTGATAACAGCATCAACCAGATCTACAAAACATCGGCAAATCACGAGATGACGTGTGCAATGCAAGTCGATGATAAGCCATCCCAAACATCGTTTCAAACGTTTATCAAGTAATGATTTACTTCGAATGGACGACTACAGACAATCAACATCCACAAAAGAAACACAAAATGGGGTGTTAAACTATTCCAAGGTAGATATACACAATTCATATAAATATTATTTTCAAATTCCATCCGTACGTATATTTTCTCAAAACGAAACACAGTTCATCAGCACAAAGTTGTATTTTTAAAAATGGAACAATTATCAGAATGAGATTAAATTTTGTAGATCTAACCGAGAAAAATGATTTGCTATAAAGTTACCTAGTTCAAAGTTTACATAGTTGGGTCTGTCATAGTCAGGTTTCTAGATATTGTTTTCGTTCTGTTTATTTAGATTGGTCGTTCGAGGCGAGGGGAGGACTGTGGATTTTTCAACAATTACACCAGAGGAACTTAACACAAAGTTGAGATTTTTTCTACACTGAGGCACAGCCTAAAACCAGGAAACAAGATGTGAAAATATGCCGGCTGCACATGCTGCCGAGTATCCTAGAACACTTTAAAATGTTCGTTCTGCCCTGAAAAGACACTTAAATGATATCGGGAGAGATATTGACATTGTAAGAGACAAGCAGTTTAAGTCTGCAAATGATATGCTTGATGCTAAATTAAAGTACAATGTACAACATGGCTTGTCACGTCCACACAACATAAATCAATCATTGAAACAAGTGATCTGATGAAAATTAGCACTTATCTGCATTCGGCATCCAATCCTGTTATCCTCCGGTACAAAGTATGGTACGACGGGCCATCCATTTTGTAAGTCGTGGTCTTGAATTTCACCAGCAGCTTACGCCCACATCCTTTGAATTTGCGGTAGATGATAGCAATGTTGAATATGTCACACTGTCCCACGAAACGAAACAAAAAACATCCAGAATTGGTCTCAGCAGCGATGAAGCGCAAAGCGACAAACGAATGTACGCGACGAATGATATAAACCAATGTCCCGTCAATGCACTTCGCCAGCTCCTTGACAAAGTGACCCAAATGCCGGATCACTTTTTCGCACTGTAATAAAGATGCACTTAGTTCTCCAGACGCACACAACATTTGGTATACAGCAACCCGAGTCAAAAAATACCAGTTCACTCGTTTCATGTCTGACATATGTCGCAATGCCCAATGTAGTCAGTCATACACTGCTCATTGTCTTCGCGCCACAGCAATCCAAGCCATGAGTGACGCTGGCTTTGAACTTCATCACATAATGTTTATGAGTGGCCATAGGAATGAAAGTTCCGTGCGTAGTTATAGTCGCCACACAACGACTACTCAAAAACTAAGAATTAGCGAGACGCTTTCCGCCATTGTAACGCCTCGACAAGAGCATGCGCACGTTGGAACATCAGTTCATTGCATCGCAATCCCAGTCACATCACAGCCCCTTTCCACTTGCGCAAATACTGCTGCCACTAACAATCTCAGTTCCACTAACTTCATGTCATCGGGCTTCATTTCCAATTTTCACTTTTCAAACTGTGTCTTTCAGTTCGCTAGTAATAATTCAAATGTTTGAACTTGAAACTGTGCCGTTACCGGAACTGTTTTGTTTTGTAAGAATCCGCTACGCGGATTCATACAGTTTGCACATTGGTTTTTAGTTTCATACCTCAATGCAACGAAAGAAATACACAGTCAATCCTTAACCTATTTTGAAAGCTTGACCGCTAAAGTGAATCTAACAATCTCTGTGTTATAGCTATGCTCTCTGCTTTTGTGTTATATTGCCTTTAAAAGTTGTATTGCCTCTCTTTTCATATACTCATGCCAATAATGGTTGTCACCCCTTCAATTTTTTTAATTGGAGGGATGTGGGGAGGTGATATTGTGGGCAGGTGTGGGGGTGGGGGTGACAACCATTATTAGCATGAGTATACAACCACCGTAATACCTTTGTAGTGACTAGTAGACCTACTTAATATTTTTTTATTTAAGTGTTAATTATATCACCAATGTCATTGACTTATTTCAGGCAAACTAATCCATAAGCTTCAATTAGGTAATTAACAAGATTATAGTTTTCTCATAAATTGATCGTGGTTTTTGGTTTCGTTGGTGCGCACCACACAATAACCAAGATATCACGAAATTTATAAAAGGCATTGAAGCAAAACAACAAAATATATTGAACTGTTGTTAATTCCACCTGAAAGCACGTCACTGCAGATATCTTATCTATTCAACAAAACCAATACTCAAATGTAATAATGTGTAAATGTTAATACGCACGCTATAAGCTTGAAGTGTTGAATTGCAACTGTTTTTAGGAAGCAAAAACACATTAACAGTGATATTAACAATTACAATAACGTCCGCAAAACATAATGTGAGAATTTATGGATGTCAGCTCCTATAATATGAGGAACACGACATCTCCGTCAGTTGGAATGAAAAACTAGGAAGCATGCATATATAAGTACATGTGAAACATCAACAGTGATAACATAACATGGGAAGCCAGATTGGTGTTGATTGGTGATGGCAATGAACAAATCTGAATGCCTACAGGAATACAAAAGGTTTACTATTTATGTTATTCCGCTAAATCTGGTTACTTGTTTATCTGGACGACTTCAGTAGGAACAGTAACCTCTGGTAATAATGGAGTTTCGCTTTACATATACATTTTGCAAAATAAACGAAGGAACACACTGTTTTGCAGGTTTGATCAAACTCTACTTCAAAAGTGAGGCATACAATTTATGGATGGCAACTTCTTGTTTATTGCATAGAGCAACGTCTCGATGTAGATTCTATCACTGTCATCATGCTATTTTCTATTTTAGCTTGATAAGGGTGTAATAATCTACATTGAAATGTCGTTCTATGCAATAAACAAGAATTTGTCATCCATAAAGGTATATGCTTCATTTTTGACTCATTAAATTCTAGAATGCCGATCAAACAATCTACTTCAAAAGTACAATAAGGGAATAATCCAGTTTGTTCAGTACAAAAAGGCACCTACGGGTGCAGTACAGACGTACACTGGAATGTGTTCCTGTTATAGAGGCTGCACATGTGTATGGATTCAGCTGTATTCTTCTTTCGATGTAGCGTCATGTAGCTTGGGGTAATCACTCTTGTGAGACCCCCTGCCGGCAGAGCGTTGCTAATAACTCTCAACGTTCAATGCCCTCAGATGTTACTTGCAGACGTCTTTGAAGCAGAAATTAAGAGGTCTATATGTGACCTTTGCCAAAACGAGTTAGCAGTTGAGAAGCTATTTGGGATCGTCCCGCCCATCATGTTAAGAGGAGAGATTCTAAGACTCCCCACCATACAGACATGTCCTAATTAAGGGTGCAGGCTCAGAAGACCTTTGTGTTGGTTGTCAATTTAATGGTTGTCCTTTAAACCCCTCTTCATCAATGATGGACGGTTTGATCTCAGCATCAAAGGACTGGTTGCATGTGATTGTGGATGGTTTTAGTTCACAATCCACCTTGTAGATTATTATCAAGACTGCTGGAGACTATTCTACGTACTTGTCCATCAATCTGACAAATATGACGTCCTGGGAATCAGATGGCAAGAAGTCCATGAACTGATTTATGGCATCTCCGAAAGACATGCCTCCCACGATGGGTTCAGGCATTCTGGTTTTGAAATCATGGCTGCTTATCAAATTTGAGTTTACACATTTTGTTTACAACATTATAAAGTTACATTCTACATTGTAAATATATGTTCCTCTAAAACACTGAGAAGAGGATTTGAATGCCTTTTACATTTGGCTACAGGAACTACATCATCATTACAGTGGAATAGTCAGCGACTGAGATACCTTGAGCTAGCAATAGTACAAAATTGTATCAAAGTCTTTCACAGTTTTTAGATATGTTGTCATTAACAATGTCGAGGGTCAAGAGTTGAATAACTGTTCGGCTTCAGGACGTTGTGCAGTCTTATAACTGGAAGACGGCTTCTGTTAACAACAAAACACATAGACATATACATGTACTTATGAATATATTTATGAGCTATAGTTATGTAATACACCAAATGATGCTTAATGCTCAATTCAGCACTACTCAAGCTTTACAATGGCTCAGTACGGCATATCCAGCTATAACACACGGCTGAATAGGACCAGCTTCCGTCGTACTGATAAAATAGTTGGGAAACTGATTCATACAGATTGCGTACAACATTGATACTTAACAGGACAAGAATACCCTTTCCAATGTGGTTTTCGTGGCTGGGATTGGGATTCGGTGACAAAGTGTAAAGACATCAATGTTGAAATGATTCAGACAAATATTGCAGAGATTTTCTACTCTTCAGTAAAAATATTGTCGAGTTGGACAGGGATGCTGGAATGACACAGACGACCTAAGGCCCTTTCCACTTGTTCCCCAGGGGTGGGGTTTGGCCACTCCACGTGTCCTGCTCTAAGTACGCATCAATGTTATTGTCTATATTGATGAAGTACAATATCAAAAATGTCATCCCTGTATCTATCATCGTGCCACGCTATGGGATATGGTCATCGCTTCTTCCAGGTCTACTGATCCCAAATCATGATTGAGCCTTCTCTATAACTGTAATGTTCCACTACTTTGGAATCCTGAAGTCTACGGAACACTCACACATGACGATCTGTGGAGTCTAGATAGTATCTCGATTCATCAGTGAAAACTACTGAAGTCCGGTTTTGTTGTTGTGATCTTCCACAGAACCCACAGATGTCGGTACGGCGGGATGGGAATGGATGTCTTCAGTGACCTAAACCCAGTTCAATCATTATGCATGTCATTTCAAAATGTGAGGCGCCTTTCTGTTGTCAGAAGAAACCTGTATTCCTGCTGTGTGGTGGAACGCCGTCGACCACCTGCATGACGCTGGGTAGATGATCGACAAATATGGTTTCCACGCCCTAATAATCATACTTGGCCCTTGCCCATGACTGACTCCAAAGAAATTTGCAACATGAAACTGTGCACTCTCTCAAAAAAGAAACGCAACCCCTGTTTTTTTTGGTAATGTTTATATCAATTTTAACTGGTTATTACATTTGTATTTTTAAAGATAATGCCATGAAATTTGACATGGTGAACCTTAGGTCAGCACGGTATAAGGTAACAGTTAATGCAGGTCAGTATCGAACTCTCAATTTACGCTAGGGGGCGTTGTCTTCAGTATCTCGTTGTAGAGCCACGAGCTCTAATCACAGCAGTGCACCTCCTCGGAACAGAACGAATCAGACGGCGGATGTTTTCCTGGGGGATTGCTCTCCACTCTTCCTGGAGTGCTGCGGCCAGTTCAACCAACGTGTGCGGTTGTGGTGTACGTGCACGAACACGACGATCAGCTGGTCCCACAGATGTTCGATAGGATTGATGTCTGGCGATCTGGAGGGGCCACGGCATCACGTTGACGTTGAATTCTGTAGGAATGCCACTGTTGCACGAGCTGTATGAGGGCGGGCATTGTCATGTTGAAACAACTCCCTCTGTTGGTCGATTATCGGCAGAAGATGTGGCTGTAAGACGTCATCAATGTACCGTTATTGCCGTCAAATTGCCACGAATGATGACCAAGTCTGACCGTTGGTTGTAAGACATGGCTCCCCATACCATGATGCTTCCTCCTCCAAATCTGTCGACCTGTCGAACGCAGTTCGGTGCAAAACGTTCATTTGCTCGTCTATAGACACGTTGTCTACCGTCACGTCGTTGAAGATGAAAACGAGACTCGTCACTAAACCAGACTCTTCTCCAGTTTCTGAGGGTCCATCTCCTTACGTTAGTACACCACCTGAGACGTTGGCGTCGATGTTGGCGTTTCAAGACGGGCCCAACAACTGGTCTTCTTGCACGTAAATTTGCCTCATGTAAACGGTTCCTGATGGTTTGGGCCGATACTCTCCTCAAACCTGGCACCTGTGTTGCAGTGATGGTGGGTGTGGCATGCCGATTACGTAGGTGGCTGAGTCGAATAAAGCGATGCTGAGCCGGTGTGGTGATCCTAGGTCTACCGCTCCTGGGACGATCTTCAATTGCATGGAACTGTGTGTAACGATTCCAAAGTCGTGAGATTGTTGTTTTGTGTACGTTTAGATGACGGGCAACTGTTCCAAAGCTTTCCCCGGCCTCAATGCGACCAATGGCAATATTTCGATTTGCTGTACTCAAACGGGGCATTTTCGAACTTGATTTGCAGAGCAAATTATGAGAGAAAAATTACAAACTACGCGTGCTTTTAAAACCCTCTACATGAACTGTGTTTTCAACGATTTGCACGTGCAACAGGCTTTTAGCATTTTGTACATGACAATTTCGCACTTTCTCAAATAACACGGATACAAAGGTCATCATGTGTGAAAATGGTTCCGTTTGGGAGCTTATACTGATCAGATGGGAACGTATTAACAGTATTTTGAAGAAAATTCTAATTTACATTCACCATCTTTATTCTATAAATGATGTCAGATATTTAGATAGGGGTTGCGTTTCTTTTTTGAGAGAGTGTATTTATTTTTCGGTCGTTTCAGTCCTCAGTAGGAAATGCTGCGCTCTCTGGTAGTTTTGTCACGATACATCTACTGGTTCATCTTGCCCCTCGTGCCCATGACTGAATGCCTCTCTAAGTTTCTCATTGAACGGAGTTCCTTAAAGGTCACATGCAACGTAAAACACAACTTTGCAGATTCTGATACCTTTCGGTATGGACTTGCCGAAACAAATCGTCAAAAATGCAAATTCAACTTATAAACTTGAAAAATAACGCGATGAAAAAAAACGCGCGAAATCGGAATTCAAACGTTTCACTAATTTTCCCCAGACTTTTCTGGGGAAAACGGGTTTCAACAGCTGGGCTGCGCTCATAGCACGTGCGCAAGTAAATAGGTTCGCACAGCTTGGAAGAGGGTTGTCGGGTGAATACTCCGTTAAGGCTTTGGTGTGAGCTATTTTTCTAATGTTTTGTTGATATCTCACAGGCGCGAGCTTTTTATATGTTATGACAGTAAATTAACTGTTTATATAATTTCATTTGTCTATTTCACCACACGTTCTTCTTACCGAGACACTTTCTCAGTTCGATACTTAAAAGCAATGTCATTATTTAGCGTTGACAGAATTTCTAACTGTGATATAGATATGTCGTTGTCACAGACAAAACTCAATATCTTGTTTTATTGACACCTGTTCGTCTGCCTGCCTGTCTGCTAATGACAATATTCAATACACAGCTGCTATCACTGACCACATGCAATTTGAACACCAATCAGGCTATACACCATAAACAAAATGCATTGATTTATGACCCGAGTTCGGTCTCTGTCACATTATGTAATTACACAGACAGGCAGGTGTGATACTTGAACACATGACATGTTATGATGTCTGTTGACTGCAAAATGTTATACACAAAAAATGAGCATGTATTTACAAAACCCAACATCTCTCTCTATATATATATACACAATTACCGGTGAAGGCATCTGCAAATGAACCAGCCGTTACACTTGAGTGCACACCCACCCGCTCTGACTGGGTTCGGTATCCCGGTTGCTTCGTTTCTTGGGAAGTAAACCGAAGTACACAATTTTGCACTTTCGATTTGCGATTGTACGCTTATAATTTTGTTTATATATTTTTTCGTAACCAGCAATGTATATTATATGTCATGAATAAGTGATAATTGTGTTTTAATTATGTTTGATTTTTTTGGTTGCATGTGACCTTTAAGGAATTAAGCATTCTAAATGATAATAATGTACTTGTTCGAAATGAATTTGGTCGTCCTACCTTTCGTTTGCTGTGCAGGCTGTGCAGGCTGTGCAGGCTGTTCACTCTCAGCTCCTTTAATTTAAAATAGAAAAAACTGTTTCAGCACAATGTAAACAATTCTAAAATTATATTAAGACGTCACAATTGGTCTAGTTAGCATTATCTCAAAATTCTAGTTTATACTTAGCCGCAAAGGTGTGATAAAATATGACTTGGGTATTCTATACGCGTTATTGGTTTGTATAAGTTAAGTGTAGTTTCATTCACTGATATATTGAAACGATGTGAGCATAAATCTGACTGAAGGCAACTTTTGAAGGTACTTTGGGAGTGAGTGAGTGAGTTAATATTTAACGTCACATTGGCAATATCTGAGTAATATCGTGACGAAAACAATTTATACAATAGTGATTAAAACATTTTGATTAGTAAATTCTGTCGACGATGGACAGTAAAAATTCATAGATATGAATGTGAAACTAGAATGTAAAACTAAAACATTTTAATTAAAGAAGACAATACAAAATAAAAAAACGGGCTATAGATCGCTAACAACTGAAGGTAGATCACCTTACTATAGGGACCATGGGACCTACAGTGCCGTTGCTACCTGCATGGACCCAAGTACTTTTGATTGTCTGATTGAAATAATAGGTTCATTACTTGATGTTTTAGAAGAATTTTGAAGTATGGAAACGAAAGTAACTTACATCATATGTATTTTGTAAATGAAACATATAAATATTGTACAAAGTGCTATTTTATCATTCAAATAAAAGTATATCACTCTTAAAATACCGGAGGAAACATGCTGTGTTTGATGGCCGAAATCCAATCTGTCACACAGTAATATGTGCTGGTGAATGGATAGGTTAAAGCTTATATTTTAGCACACACAACCATCACAAGAATTGCTATAACATTTACATAAAACAAATTTCTATAATCAGACATATTACTTATGTATTAGTTCGCAATAATATTGCTAAGAGCTGTTTGAAACCTGACTCACCCACCAATGAAAACAAATGTAACATATAACATCGGGTAAACACTTATTTCAAAAGTGAGATTAAATAGTATGTGCAGCAAGTCGTTTCCGCCTAATTTGAACACTATACATGCAGTAAAACCTTTTCTAAATAATGTGTGATGTAAGGCATATATGTCATTTTCCCATTGTCTGAGTTATTTCCATAAAGGAATTAAATAACAAATCTCTGTACTTGTTCATAATACCTTCATTGTGCTGCGATGACTGGTCTTCGTTTGGATCCTCATTTTCGAAAAGGGGAGAACCTGCACAATGCATTCCAAACATTTAGATACGTCGTTATTGTTAGATTTTTCGTAACGTTTATCAAAAAAATACACTTCGACCTAATGCGTGAATGAAAGCAAGGGAGGTAGCTCCGCAAGTACTTACCAGAAATTTCGTGGCCAATTTGATCTATGTCGGAAGAATCGGGAACAGGAGAGAGGTTAACGCAGACGTCCATCAGAAGTTTTGGGTCTGCTGCCACTTGAGCACTCTGCTCATGCAAAGGTGCCTGACGGGTTCCAATTATGGTTTGAATTATTATTATTGTTATTAAGCTCAGAGCTTGTGTTGTGCAGCTATCGGACGTGTCTAGCCGACGTCTGACGACAATCTGATAAGTGTCCGATGATTAACAGTCATCAGACGCTCGTCTGATTGCAGTCTGCGGTCTGCCCTATGCGCCTGATGCCCATCACCAATTCGGTTCTTATCAGGAGTTAGATGATATTTAGCACCGTCCGATTGCAGTTCGTTGTGACATCGGAAGGTAATGGCTCATTAACTCAACTGCCATCCGACACATATCGTAAAGCAAACGGTGACACCTGACTGCCAACGGACTACAAAAAGGAGGGTCACTCACTCCACAGAGTTTCAACTGACACTACAACATCAAGATGGGTCAAAGAAAGAACAGAACTAGGAAAGAAGGCAAAGAAGCAACCTCCCATTCTCCTGGTATGATGTTGTGGTTGGCATCCTGTGTATCCAGCTGACCATGGTGCATGGCTGTATGCTGTATTCGGATCAGGTTGTGGAGGCAGACACAGGTTTATATGATGTTATGCACAACGTCAGTCTGTTGCTGTGATGTTCCTAGAAGACACTTGAATCTGGCTGCCAGTATTCCAAAAGCATTCCCCACGACTCTTTGGGCTCTACTTATGTGATAGCTATATATCCGTTCTGCAGGAGTAAAACAATTTTTCATGGCTTCATCATTGGGTTCGCAGAGCAAAGGCGTCATTCCCGATCATGAAGTATGGCATGTTCTGGTTGTCATTGGGCATTGGCTCAGGTGGGGGGAATCCTATTTGGCCACTCTCCACTGTCTCTTTGAGCTCAGATGTATTGTATATCTGTGCGCCAGACATGTGTCCTTGGCAAGGATGTCTGTCCACAAGAGCCGTTAGTTCGTATTAACAAGTGCCATGTTGACCACTGAGAAGAAATGTATGGTAGAGACAGCCCATCAAGTGCCCCCATCAACGCCTCTCGTGGCTATGGCTTGACAGGGATAAACGTGCATATGGTTTCTCGAGCAACCCTGAAGCTGTATGACAGTGATTGATGCCGATCGCCAGCTGCAAGGTGCCTTAGGGTGCAGGCTAACTTGAGGCCAGGTTCAAGGGCTCTCCTGGCATTGGTATCAACCTTCCTGAGTCTTGGTGCGAGTCTCGGAGTAATTCATCAAAAGATTCTGGCGTAACTCTCAAGAAATTGAAGAATGCCGTTGTATCCTCTATTCTCAGTTAATTCAGGCTTATGGTGTAGTGCCCATATAACAGCCTTCTGTCAGCTTGCGGCTATGGCCAAACCAAACAACGACGTGGTATTCTATCCCTTCTTTACAGCCTCCATCTCAGGACCTCAAGGGTCATTGCATCTTGTTGCATAATTTGTTGCTGCAGCATAAAAACAAAGCCCAGGGCTGCAGCGTTGTGAGGAGGTTGATCCATGACTAGAACCGTCAGGAGGTGCAGCCCGCTTTTATACTCGACTGCCGATTTTGGCGACAAATCCGACCAGTATTGGGGTCAGTGTCCGATTTGTCAGATTAGTGTTGGGAGAGTGTTGGAAGTGTCAGATTATTGTCAGGTCAGGATAGGCTCGAATTACAATCCGACCGCAGTCGGATCAGCTTGACGATGAATATGGTGGACAGACATCAGGCAACTACCTGTCTTTCATCCGATTAACTTGATCATTGTTGGATCTCTATGGGATTTTACAGAAAATGTGGTCCCCCCCAAAAAGATGTCGGGTGAATTTTCATCGGAACTCAGTGGAACGCTGAAATTGACCCAAGTCAAGTTAGTCTGGATGAGGTTCCGATGGTCAGTGGAATGGGTTTTTCTGACATGAAACAGAGGATGTAACTAAAATACTTCATGTATCTTTTTTATTATCATATGCAGTTATATCTGATTACTTGAATCGAGTGAGTGAGTTTAAAGTTCAGCTACAGTCCAACAATATAACGCCCAGAAATGGGCTTCATACCTTGTACCATGTGGGCAATTGAAACCGGGTCTTCGGCATAACGAGCAAACGCTTCAACCACCAGGCTACCCCCGCGTCCCTCGCTGGATTCGTGTGCAATACCCTTTAACTGTCTTGTGTATTGTCCTAGAATACTCTATATGAAAATATTTTGAGACACTGTGTATGTTTGACTGACTGACTGAGTTTGGTTTTACGCCGCTTTAAGCAATATTACAGCAACATCACGGCAGGGGACACCAGAAATGGGCTTCACACATTGTACCCATGTGGGGATTCGAACCCGGGTCTTTGGCGTGACGAGCCAACACTTTAACCACTAGGCTACCCCACCGCCCCTCAGTGTGTATGTATACACATAGGGAACAGGACCTCAGAATGTGAGACCAAGACCCAAAACACATATGCATATTTCAAGATCCATCATGATACAGAGTGCCAGCACAACATAGACAACAGCAAGACGTAGTTATGTGAAACGTCTTTAATTATTGACAGTCGAATATTGCACAGAGAACAACAGGTTAGTTTCTGTGGACACATACATTGATGTACATTCAAATTCAAACCTCGGAAATAACTTATCAGGATATATTTGCACCAAAAACAAAACAAAACAAATTCAATTTGTTCATGGAAGTATTTATTAAAACGCACTGTAAGATACAGATACATAGAGGCAGAGGGAACGACTCTTCCTTGTCGCACAGAGCTAAAATAAACTATGTGCAAGCCCAACACAAGTCTGACAAAACATATCGGTCTCTCAGACAACAGATATTCATTAGTCCAAGGTGTTAATATGGGAAAGTACAATCAGTTCATACTGAATGGACGGGCATTAATCATTGAAACGGTCGTGTTGCTGCGGCAATTACAAATATATACAAATTTACACAAAATACATTTTCAAAGAGGCACATGTCCACACATTGGTTTACAATGGCCTTGAACCTCAGTGTACAAGGCACAAAGATGACATCATCATAGCTACACAATATAGAATAACCTTTTCCCGTACACGTCGTTGAGTGTCAGTGGTCAGTTCAAATGGTATTCACTGTTGGGTCTTTTGTCCCCGAAGAAGGCTGGATTGGCCAATGATCCAAACTGGTTGTTCTTTGAAACTGACATACTTCATTGGAAGGTGTTAAGTACCTAACAGGTGTTCTTGTCTCACGATCACGTGTTTTTGTCTCGGAAACTCTATCTGTTCCTAAGTGAGAATATGAGCAATAATTCCAAACCAAATCTTCTGGTGTTTCATTATGACTGGTCTGCTCGTCAACGTTTGGACCGAAAACGTCTGCAAGAGCTGCCATGGCACCGCTGGTCTCGTTACCGGTGTCTTTTGCTGTCATAACTGCAGCAGAAGAAGCTCCAACATCTTCATCACTAATTTCCCGAGTATCTATGGAGAGTTTCGTACGTCACGCTTGATGTGTGGACACGTCTTGGTGACACGTCATGGTCGCCCTGTACTCTGATGTTGTTCGATCTGTTAACAAAATACAAATATATATTCTACACATAACATTATCAGTGAACACGGTATAAAGACGGTTCATTTTGAAAGACATTTTAGAGAGAACCGAAATACTAACAATGATATTGAAAATGAAATATAGCACTGGGCAATATCGAACATCGCTCTGAAGATACGAAATGAAAGACACAAATAACCTTCGTCTACAAATCTTTCTGACGACTGACACAACTGCAACACTGACGGCTACGACTAAAGCTGCTGTTGACATTACAACGTAAGATGTTCTTCCATCAGCTTCATCTGAAGGAGAAACATGGATTGGCGTAGTCTCTGAAAATATAATAAATATGTTGAATACATCCATTTTGGGGTTATACTGCCAAATATCCACATAAATAGAGTTAATTTGTTCATTTAGAATGCTGATATTCAATACTGAACTAAATTACCTTTGGGTTTGTAACCTGGCATCGTGTCTCGTTGTAGAATGGAAGGATCACAGTTCACCCTTGCCATACAGTCGTGCGAGGAACAATTGTTTCCGCATCCAGTGTTACATTTGCCTGTGGTTTGGTTGCAGATACCATCGAGACATGACTCACAGGTATTGGTACAGAAACTTCCGTAGAACCCGTTGACACATCCGCCCAGACAAGATCCATCCTGTGTGTGGCATGTGCTATTCACACAGTTCTCGGGGCACGGTAGACAATCTGTCCCGTATGTCCCCGGTATGCAGCCATCAATACAAGCTCCTGTGTTGTCACAGTTTAGATTTCTACACAGCGATTTACACTTGGACGAGCAATGCGATCCATACCAACCACGCTCACATCCATGAACACAGTCCCCTGTCAGTTGTTCACATTCGGGTTTGGAAGACACTGCTGTTGTAGCAGACAAAGAACTATCACCAACGTTAGAGTTTGTGTCAGGGCGACAATGTAAACTACACATGTGAACACACAATGGGCCGTAAAATCCTGGTTTACATCCAAGTGTACAATCATCATCTTCACATCCACCAAGACAATTCACGCCACCATGCCCAGCATGACATTCCTCACAAGTTCTTGTTTTCACATTACAGGACTTGCATCTCCTGGAACAGATGCTGCAGTGAGAACCGTAATATGAATTATTACATCCAGCAATACACGATGACCCGAGATTACAGAATTCCCCATCACAAGCACGTGGGCATTGCTCACACGTGTCCCCGGGATCTAGACACGGTATTTTGCAGTTTGAGCCTTGAAATCCCTGTTTGCAACCCTCCGTGCACCTGTCAATTCCAGTTCCTGTCTTTTCACAAACATTGTTTTTGCATTGGCTACTGCATTTCGAACTGCATCTAAGATCATAATAGCCATCATGACACTTGGTCTGGCAGTGTCCTGTCTCCCAATCACATTCTGAACAGTGTTGATCCTCTTGACAATTGGCTGCTGAAAAACGCAAAGTGTGAACTGATGCTGGTTATCTGACATTCTTGAAATATACGCAGAGATACATTAATAACTATTACTGTGCTTTGAGTGGCAAGAGCACACTCTTGAGTTCCGAACAAAATTAGACATTGAAAGGGATTATATATCACATCAGCATTCAAATAATACATCGAGGAACCTATGATGGGGTCTATTACTGCAAATACATTGTGTAGGGTTGTTAGAGTTTGTATGTGCGTCTGACTTTTCAATGCTGAGCTCCAGGCAGGGTGACAAGAAGTACCATGTTTTACCGTCTGATAGTATCACGTGGTAGGAGATGAGAACACCTACCAATGCTCTCAAGGCAGACACTTTATCCGCTTTACCACTAGAATACTAATACGAAGCTACGATGGCATTACATTTGTATGTAGGTGTGAGAGTTTGTATGTGTATGCGTGCAAGCATGCGTGCGTCTGAGTGTACAAGCCACCGCCAATTGTACTGCACGACAACTGAGACTCAGTTTACGTTAAGCAACGACGAGCACGGGCAGTCCTTGGATGGGTGACCGTGTTTGGTAGCTTGACTCCTGAGAGTTTCTTGGACTTCAGGCCTGCCCCACAACGAATCACATGTGATACATGTGGTCTCACCTTTGACAAGTGAGTTTGTTCAAAATTGCCTCTGTTAACCCAGCAGAAAGTGGGTACCCGGTGAGATAAGTCATGCGACTGTTAACATTCTTGCGCTTCACAGGCAACTTGGGTTATCCGGGGTAATGATAATCAAACCTGCGCTTTGAGCAACCGCAACGGATGGAAAATAGCGCATAACAAATGCACTCATTATTACTGAATATTATTCAGAGCCGAGAAGTCCTTGTATCCCTCAATGCAGAGCTCCAGGCAGGGTGACAACACGTACCATGTTTTAACATCTCATAGTATGACGTGGCAGGACATGAGAACACCTACCAATACTCCCCGGGCGGACACGTTATCCACTACACCACTTCACTACTGTGGTAGTGGAAAACATATATTAGAAAACATTTACTATGGTCTGAAATTACCTTCAGTGTGTGAAATCACAACAGCAGCGACAACAAACAGCAACACAATCATTGGGCAGCTGCAACAAAATGGAGGCCTTCAACAGTAAAAATACGAACAGGAGGAGAAATATAATCAATATAACTCCAAGCGGGACAGAGGAATAATAAAAACATGTTTTCTCCCTAATTTAGGTATCAAATTTCGAAAGTGTTGCTTTCGTTCCATACCCTATAATAAAGGAAGTGTTTACATTTACACAATAAGACAGAGACACAGTCGCCTCCGTGAAGGTATTGTTTAAAAACAGTTCTAGCTTCCAGTTTCGACAGCCTTGTTTTCATTCTCATGTTTCGGAAATGGAAAGTTTGTTTGTTTGTTGTTTAAAGCCGCTGTCAGCAATAATCCAGCAATATGACGGCGGTCTGTAAATAATTGAGTCTGGGCCAGACAATCCAGTGACTGACATCATGAACACAATGTCATACATCAACCTGGTCATCGAGTCCGACTGCATAGCATAGGTTGCTGAGGATCAAATCTAACCCTAATCTTCACGGGTATGAAATGGATTGACAAACACAGAATGTCTTAATAACGTTTAGCAGTACATTAAACATGAAGTAGATGGAATCAGACGGAAACTAACACAAATATCACAAATGTAATTGTTGAGCATGCACTTTGTTAAAAACCTCAGTCATCAATATCGCGACCGAGTAAAAGTTTGGGCATTAAATGAATGTAGCTGTACATTTACAACCCCCTGGTGTTGCATATGAAGATAACATCTGATCACAATGAAATTTCACATTAAGCGTTAACAGCCCGGGCAAAGCGTGCCCTATACGGAAACAGAAAATCAGTGATAAAACTGAGGTTAGCACACGCTTCCGGGACAGTATGTCAGTGAACAGACAAATGGCGAATAGTGGGTTAGACAGAGACTGTATGCCTCGGTTGTCCCCATGTCTTGCAAATCAGAAAGTGCAATTTATTGACTGTGGGACAGGAACTTCAAACAGGAGGGAACAACAACGAGACCTGAGCATGACAGGCCTAAAAACAACACTAAGACAATTTCGTCTCATTACATTAACTGCAATACACAATTAGATTCGGATATGACGCTTTTATCAATAGAAAACTACATACACAAGGAAGGCGATTTACAACATATACCCCTATAATCCGGATCTACAGGCCGCCTGAGCGTCTTGTCAAGAGTTTGACTCTGGTTAGGCAACACCAATGATGGCGCCAAACGAATGAAACCGTGTTTACGGGCAGACAGCAACACATGACCACATCGCTTCTGGCGAAAATGCATTATGGACATTGGACTGCACCAAACCGCCAACGTGGATTTAGCTAGGACTAGCTGTACCGGCGGACTGGTTGGCAATTCAGAGAGCAGCATTATGGTAATTAATCAACGTCTTGCCGTCAAGATAACGTGCCTTTGTCAACCATCATAGTAGGTACACTAGATATTAGTCTTCACGCCGAATTTACTTGTACAGACATTCGTTTTCTGCGTCTGTCATCCATTATGTATGTTTTGGTTTTGTTTTGTTTTTTGTTGTTTTGGGTCTGTTTTGTTTGTTTTGTATGGTTTTTTTGTCGGGATATGATATCAGCCTCAAACTAATCAAGTCCTGCCAGTCAAACAACTGATTGTGCGTCATGTCATCGATCCCCGCAAGCATGGACATATTTGGCTTGATAACTGTTTTACAATCTGCCTCTGTAATGGTAATAAAAGAGCTGACCATTTATATTAACGTATTAATTATCCAACTTTCATGTGAAACTCAAACTCAAGACCTCAATTAATGATAATGCAATGTAACTTACCTCGTCATCACAGCTGACAGCTTTCTCTGAAATAAGAGAAATCTGTAACACTTCCGTGTCATAGCAACTGTCCAACCACAGAGACGACACGAGGGTTATCAGACCACTTACTCTGTGGAGTGTGTGCAGTATTTGCTGTAACATGTCATGAACTATAACCTCTCTATTCAACTTCCGGTTGTTCTAATTACCGTCAAAATGATCAGAACGTAGTAAATTCTAACCTCATGTGCTGGTGTGAGTGAGAGTGAGTGAGTGAGTCTGATTTTACGCCGCTTTTAGCAATATTCCAGCAATATCACTGTGGGGGACACCAGAAATGGGCTTCACACATTGTACCCATGTGGGAAATCGAACCCGGATCTTCGGCGTGACGAGTGGACGCTTTAACTATAGGCTACCGCATCGCGCAAGTTTCAAGAATTACGGCCCCTGTGTATCTTGTTTAAAAGAAACTGACTTCCGATATGCAGGCTTGGTGCACACCAGTTATTGTACATTTGTGAATGAACTGAAAGTAGTGCAACTGTATGTTCACGTCCACTAGATTAATAATTACTAATGTTTAAAGATGATTGTGGAATTACCAAAACTGCAACTCAATCTAACCACCATTCTCGAAAAGAGTGTCATGCAACACACGTATTCGGTATATCTTTTGATGCTGAAGTCCTTACATTGTGGCCCACTTTAGCTTACCTAAGGTAAAAGTAAAACAATCTTCAATCCTTCCTTTGAGAACGTAGCTTGTGCAGACAGGATGAGCTAACTTCATATTCTTCATACATCAAGTCAGTATTTCTTTAGCTATTTAGTAAATCTCTAGCCGTAGAATATGTTATTTTAATTTATGTCTAAATTGTCTAATCTTGCTGACAGCTAAAGGGATGGTGTAGCTAGGGTCCATGCAGGAAGCAAATGTACTGTAAGTCCCCATGGTCCCTAGTATGATAATCTACCTTCAGTTGTAGGCAATCTATAGCCTGATTTTACATTGTCTTGTCATTTCTAGTTAAAATGTTTCAGATTTAATTACTAGTTATAAATGGCTATCTGTGATACACTAGTAGTTTTACTGTTCTTCGTTAGAAGACTTATAATATAATTATTAATTGTTCTCGTTACGACATGACTGAAATATTGCCGACGTGACGATAAATATTAACTCACTCACTCACTAATAAGTCAATCATGAGCAGCCTGATATTGAAATGTACGTGATTTGGGGAAGGGGTGGGGGACAATTTAAGATATTATTCCCTGTCAGATTGTTACATGGGTGAAGTGCGTGCGATACGTCCTGTGCAACTCGAATAAAGGTATGATGTTTAAACTGTGCAGACAATCGAGACAGAGATTCACCTACTGCAAACAATCAGCAAATAAAAGTAGCCATATAACATTTAGGGCAATCATCTCCAACAAAAAACTTTTTCTAAAGATGAAAGGTTCAAATCAACAATTTCCGGGGTAGGGATTTCAGTTTCTGTCTCAATAAAAATTTCTTGCATGCTTTGATATTATAACCAGAGGCGTTTAATATTATCACCGGGACATGATACAGAGTGGTGCATAAGGAATTAAATACATAGTACATGTAGTAGATCACCTCATTGTGTTTGCTGTTATGTTATGTTACGGTCTCATTGTCATAAGAAATAATTACAACTCTTCGAACTCTTTTATTTTAATCATGAGCATAATCAATGTATATGCCTACAGCTGGAGATATTACTTATATGATAAGAGTCAGGGGCGGACCCAGGATTTGGGAGAAGGGAGAGGTGCACATAAATCATGGAGTGCAAAGGTTAGGGGGAAATGCTCCTCAGGGATTTTTTTCGGAGAGGGGGGAGGGGTTACGCACCCCTGCATCCCCCTCTGGATCCACCCCTGTGAGTGCAAACTCTTCTAACTTAGATTTATGCATCACCTATGAACAGTATAGGTAATTGCTATGTACATTTCCAAAATACCCTGTATAAAATAAAACTTCTTTATTTTCAGTAATACGAAATACCCGCTGTCATTTCTCACCAAATCAAACAACTCTTTTACGACTAATTTGAAATGTCACATGCTCCTGTAAAGTGACTGTGCTTCAAATTGTTCCCGACTTCTTTAAAAAATACCACCACAAGTAAAATATAAATTTAAACCTACGTCACACCGACATAGAAACCTATAAAACCGATAAAGTCATTCACCTGTGTCATTACAAAACTTTATAGTACACGTTCTCGTTTGTTCCCAAACATTTCCAATATGGCACGTAGAGTTGTTTCCCTTGAAGTACATATTCCTTACAGTGCAAGATGTTGTTTCACTGCAGATGTGTCACGCTGTGACTAATTGATTAGTCATAATAATAAAAGGGTAGTTAAAGGCGTATTATGGTGCAATATCTATGTTTGATCCGACTCGTTAGGGAAGTTATGTAGCTTAAAATGAGATATGTGACATTTGTTGGTGTATTTGTTGGTTGGCTGTTTTACGCCGCACTCAACAATGTTCAGCTGTATGGCGTCGGTCGGAAACTTATCAGCGCGGCGACCAGACAATTTAGTGATCAATATGATGAGCAAATCGGATAACATTTGTCAACCAAGTATCTATATATCGCACAGTAATAGTAACCTTTAATTAAAGGGAAAACGGCAGGATAAGATTTCCTCACAGTGAATTTCATTTCAAAATCAAATATGTTCTCGTCACGATATGGCTGAAATATTGCCGATGTGACGTTAAATAATAACTCACTCACTCACTCCTCACAGTGAACTGTAAAAAGCATTAAACAGACCAGTTAAAAGGCAAGGCTGGCCATGACTACTATACATGTTTTCTGGGCCCCATTTGTTTTCATCTTCCGTCTGATAGTGTAACAGTCGTTACTTATAATATATCGTATGATTCAAAAAGCAATACTTAAGAGATATGATACCTTAATTAGACAATTAACGTCTTTTTTATTTCTCTGTACCGTGATTTTATTATGTTTCACATCGTGTTTGCGTATTTACTCACGATAGTCTCCATTTCGTTATAATTTACAAATGATTGCGTTGCTGTTTGTTGTTGATGTTGTTATGATTTCACACACCCAAACTTTGAAGTGGTTTCACAGACTTGTCGAGTGCTGCCTTTGCAGGAGTATCAGCCGTTGTGTTCCCAGAATTTCCAACGTGGCTGGGTAACCATCACAGTCATGCTGGAGAAGAGAAAAGCTGAGTTAGGGCTGTATTTTCAAGACTGATGTGTACTGCTGGAATATGTGATTGTGTTCATATTTCAAGTGGTGGATGATTTTTCATTGTAGAGTTCTTGATAAAGAGTAGAGTGAATCAGTGAGTATGTTTTCCGTCGCTGTTAGCAATAGTCCAGCACGTTTGCGGCAGGGGACACCAGAAATGGGATTCACACATTGTACCCATGCGTGGCCTTCG